AAATAATGGCTATGTGTTATTGTTATGCGTATTAGTGAAATGTGTATTTTAAAAAGAAATTATTAATTCATAAGCCAATTTGTGCAATAATTATTTTAATTATATTAGCATTTTTGTTATTTTGCTTCATAAATTGTATTATTGATAGACCTACACATTATTAAATCTGTTTTTCTATTTTTGACAAATTTGTTATTACATTTTATGACTTTTTTGTAGTAAGTATTTCTTAAACTAATAATGAAATAAAAGTTATTGACAAACGAACAGGTCACTTATAAAAAAAATAATAACCTCAGCGACATATTGAAGTAATGTAAGATCTTAAAAAGCTTCCAATTAATTACACATGACTATAAATTTTGTCTGTTTGATACGGTGTTACCTTTTGTTTAGGTACATACTAAGTTGCTATGTAAAGCTATCAAGAGATTTCTTAAATATAAAAACCACTTCGGTTGTACATACACCCCAAAGAGTTAAAATACAAATACGTTTATACAAAGTAAAGAAGTAGTAATAGTAGTAGTAGTAGTAGTAGTAAAGAATTATTAAATATTTGTATAAAGGTTTTTTGGACTTATTTAATATTTCGAATTTGATTATTTTGAAATAGCTTGAAATTACAAAATTTATTCTCTGACGACTTTTTTAAAGAAGACTGATAGTAAGCAATAACCAAATTTACTTCTATTAAGCGGTTTGTTTAAAAAGTAATAAAAATGTATATATTTTTTATAATCCATCAAAAATGCCACAGTGTAATTTTGATAAAACGTACAAATATTATAAATGTTCACTGTAAAGTTTATTGCGCCCAGTCGGGATGTCCGTAGTCTTTGTTTTGCACATGCTCTACCTGAGCAGTAAATAAATGTAAATTGTTTGAAGTACTACAGTCTCCCTTCCAAGGCAACACTCCCGTTAAGCCTTGTGTTTGATGCTCTGAACTAGGTAGTTTATTTACACAATGCATCTAGCTCCAAAAGATAGCTTAGAAATCACCTTAACTATTTATATTTAACATCAATTCTTTATAAACATTCTTATATGCAATATTTTAGGACTAATTTCTTTGATTTCATTTTAAAATTTTAGTTCTAAGAATAGTGATGACGAGTATATATAAAATCATTAAATATAAAAAATTTATGCGTAAAAATTAACTTCCTCATTATTGCATTACTGATTTAATAGATAATTTAATTCTATCATTAAAGGTAAAAAGCAAAAGTGTTGAATACAGTGTCCGTAATAAGTATACAAATATCTGAAGGTGTAGGTGAAAGCTCGTAAATTTTGGCACCCGAACCACTGAAGCAAGGCCATTGTGTTAATAGGGGGATATGTTACAAAGCATTCATATCAGTATAATACATTAATAGCCATCCATCTTTTAATAAGTACTTTTAGCGATAAAGCACTTACTGGTAGTGTATAATTACGAGTAATACAGTAATAGTAATGGAATGGAAGAAAATGTAAAATGTATGTTTATGACACTGTTCTTATAGTTACATTTTATAATTCTTAGGGAAATGAATTTTAGATTTTTATTTTGTTTATACGAATATCAAAATAAAAAATTACCTACTTTTCACTGAATCATCGTAACTGGAAATATAATTGTTGAGTAAATAACTAAAACTTACGAGATGAGGCATTTGGAGCTCAACTTTTGGCTTAAATTATCCAAAGTGATTGTTGAAGCCAAATCCTCTAAAGAACTTATGAATTTCTGAACTTACTTGAAACTACAACTAAAAGGAAAGTTCATATTGTTTACAACGAGGCATCTCATATTTTACGCTAATGTTAGGAACAAATCTTGTAAAGGATACAGCGATAGACGATTTATTTCTCCTACATGTATTTCTTGTTTTTCAATTTTATTATTCATGACTTATATTATTCATTCTCTTTATACTGTTTGTGCAAACACGAATTTGAATAGAAATATGTAATGTATTTATCTGTACACGACTACTAGAGCGTGAGTGTTTTTTATATTCCCATGACCTAGAAGAGAAAGAAGGAGGAACGTAGGAAGGACATAAAAATCTCTACCGTAACAAGATACTCGAATCCATCTATTACCAGGTTTTCTCAACTAAAGCCAAAAAACCACAAAATCGCATGCAATTCTCGGCAAAAGCACATTGAAAAAATCTCACCGAATACGTTACCTCGGATTACCAAGGTTTAGGTGGAGAAATGGAACAAAAACGTTTATCCTGTCCAACTTTTTGCTAGGATATCTTACTAAGGCTTGTTAACAGGAATCTTTTCGCCAGGTCTTACATAATTTGTTAAAAAAAATTCAGTACTTCTTATTCGTCTGTGATACATCGACTAAGTTCAGTTGTATTTTATTTCTTTTTTAGAATATGATATAAGAAATTCGAATGTTTGAGAAGGTCGAGTGAAGACATGTATGATTTTATATGGTTGTACGAGTGTCTAGTTGTACAGATGGACATGTGTATAAAGTCATATGACAAAGACTATAGATGTCGCTGACTGTCGGTTAATATAATATATACCGTTTGTATACTTTGTAAATTTCTCTCTAAAAGTAATTCCGTAATTCACGCTAATGAAGTAGCGGTCACAAACTACATAGTATAGTTATCAATGCTGAAATATGAACTAAAAATTATATATATATAAATTATTTTTTTATTAATTATTAGCATAATTGGATTTCAAAAACAGGTCAATAATATGTAGTATATGTAAAAATTTTGTAGGGCACAACGAAATTGATTCCGCAAAATTTACCTGTATATAAATAATGCTTATATGAAATGGAATTTCTCATTTCAGACATAGTCATCCAATTTTCAAATCCTAAAGTCTTCAATCTCCAGAATATTCTTGGTATTAAATATTTCGCATTACTAGGTACTCACTAAGTTAAGTGGAAAGTTTAAACCAGTTTTTTCTCAGAATCATTTTAATCATGTCATGTATTACAAATAAAAGACAAGTATTTTTTTTTATTTCTTTAGTAAAATATGTCATGTTTTTAATAATATATGCAATAATGCGATGACGTGGAAAATATTTTATCAATCCCTTCAAATACAATGTGTTTGATGTCCAAAATTGTTTTTTAGTTATACCAAGTAACGTTTTTACGTGTCTGGATATGAAGAAAAATTTTATGAAATTATATTATTTCTGTGTTTAAAAACATTAATGAAACAGAAAATGTTTAATTACATAGATTCTTACCTTTCCCTTCTTCTGAGATCTTGACATTAACCTGAGACACACGAATATTTTCTTTGAAGCCCTTAACATTTCAAATACTCAATCTAAACGATATTTTTTTTTTAAAATAACTACTTTTTACATAGAAAATTATATGAATATATAATTTTATATTAAGAAATAGATGGTGGTAGATAATAACATAACAAGACCGACTGACAGACTCACACATCTCGTCTGCCCGTGATGAGTATGTAGTTAATAATAAAAAATAAAAACACGTAGTAAATCCGAAAATATTAGTCACATTTAAGTTCTAAATCGGTTCATATCTTTATTTTATTAGTAAATTTATGTATAAATAGTAGTGAAATAAAACATCCGATAACTTTTAGAACATTTTCATTTATTTCGTTCCTCAATATTTAATTGAAAATCGACATGTCGACAGTTAGAAAGACTTCGCTGTATTTACATTTCAAATATATTTATAACAAATTTATTACTATATATTTTTTTCTAATAACATGATCCGTAACAGAACTCTGGCTAACACATCATATTAAATGTAACAATCATTTTGCAAAATAAATGAAAAACTGAACATCAAAAATTAAAATTTAATTCTTCTCGACGAATAAAATTTATATACATTATTTAATAACCTTTATGAATTATTCAAAGATAACTATCAATAATACAAAAGTTTACATTATAGCCTCCTTTATACAAAGTCTTCCATATATTCCAAATTTTATAAAGTAACTTTGTGGTCGCCTCAATTATTACTTCGTTGAGTAAATATTAGAATTGGGGCTAAAATTATTTTATTTGGTATACAATTAATTGGTTTACTGTCAATTTATTTTGTAAAACAAATGATAATAATAGAGGCGTCCACATAATATTTTTAACATATCACAATCCCGTGATAATTATTATATTTCACTTCAACTGTACAAAATGTTTGAATTGAAACGCAATTTTATTCCATTTCAATTGACGTCCAGACAATGTAAACTACAATATATTTAAATTTAATAATAAAAAACATTAAAAACAATTTTTATTTAAAACGACTTTACAATTCACAACCATTGTAAATTAATTTTAAAATAAAGCTTACTTGTTTGATTATTAAAATTAAAATATTTGTTTAATAGCTTTTCTTGTTTAAATTTAACAAGTATGTTTAAACAGTGTAATCGTAAACAAAATAATTGTGACTTAATCAAGGCATTTCATGAATAATAATATTAAAACATAAGTGCTTGGGCAAACGAAAATAAAATTATTTTAATATCAACAGTGATAATTTTAAATCACTCAAATGTTAATTTTCCAAATGTATTAATTTATCTATATGATTAGCATTTCATTAAAACAATTGTTTTCATATTCTAAATACTAATGAAATATTAATTATTGTTGATATTTACAATCATTTTACAAACAAACATTAACAAAGTCCCATATTTCGTTCGTCCTAACTATACGGATTATTACAAATAGAAAAGAACAGTCTCGGTGTTTTCTCACATGACGTAAACACTCAACACCATTCTTATAACGTACCGTTTCATATTTTACAACAAAAAAGAATATAACCAATAAGTTTCTTACTCGTATGTTTATTGAAAAATAAATAAGATACCAATTTACTCACTGTTAAGACAACTCAGTGATAAAATTAAGTACAATCAAATAAAAACACACATTTTACGATCACTCAGTTCTGAAACCGCTCACCTCAATATTTACAAGTCTTATAGCTGCGTTGTCTGTCAGAGCGGTGTGTCGCGCGGTGGGTGCGACTGTGGGTGCGGGTGCGGGTGCGTTTGTGGGTGCGGGTGTGGGTGCGCACGCGGCAGGGTGCGCAAGTGCTGCATGGGTATACAACGGTCGGATCCCGCGTTACGCGGCAACGTGCACGACCCGCTCGCAAAACCCGCGGGCGGCGGTATACCCGGCGTTGGGTTCTGTTTATTTATGTACAATTAAACACACCAACATAATGTCACTGTTATAACACATATAAGAAACAATTTTAAATATTAATTCACAGTGAAAGCTGAAACGTAAAATGTCATGTAAATGGGAGACACATAAATACCTTAAAATGAAAACTATGTTTGTATTTGATATATAATGAATATTTAATTCACACATACATATGAAAGCTAGCAAGTAACAAACATGTAGTAATTTTCATAACCTAATTTGCATAAGACAGTCTGTGAAATCCAAATATTTTCCCAGAATTTGACTTAAGTCTGTTCATGCTTTGTCCGGATTATGGAACTTTGGGAACTTTCGTTTATATTGTGATTCTCAAATAATATTTAGTATCAATTCATTCTAATAAACAGCACATATTTGAAGCTAATAAATTACAGATTAATGCAAAAAGCGTTAAATGCAAGCTTGGTAAGATGTGAAAAAAAATAATATAATTATATTTACATTTAAATATATCGTCAGTCCTTATCAGTTTTTAAAAAAATCTTGGCGACGTGCGGGTCAAAGTTAAACATAAATAACTACAAAATCTATCTAATCTACTTTTTGCCCAACATCTATCATGTTAATAGTTAGAAAAATAAATATACTGCCTATTTCAATCACGTCTTACCAGCACAATACTAAACACTATGAGATCTTCAAAGGATCCACAATTTCGACATATAATAATAATCAAGACTAACCAACAACGGGTACTCACGAACGTGCCATTCTATAACACGCTATACTCTCAAATATCTGAGAACATAGTACTATATGTAACATTTAGTACATAAAAGAATGAAACTTCAACAAAATGAACAAAATAATACCAAGTCTTAATAGGATTGTCACGAATGCTCATCGCCAAACATGCATTACTCTCAAAGGTCATAAAATACTAGCAAAAAATATATTAAGATGTATTTTTCTAATAGCTTTAAAACATGCCATGTTTATTCAACACTCCCGAGAAGACACAATCTAAATAAATTGACGACGCTCGAATAAAACATTGCTACCTTTAATGAGTATAAAAAATAATAAAAATAAATTAAATAACCACTATTATTAATGTCAAAGTTACTCATGATATTATACAAATGAATCCAACGTGTAAATTTTTAATATGATACAAGATGAGCTGGCTTTAAGAGGCACTCCACGATTAAATCGGACTTTCTAGTACTGTAGCAGCAACTATATATGATTGTATATACATATATATGATGAATATATAATTCTATTTAATTGTAGTTATATAATCAAATCTATTAGACACTCACAGGCGTATCCCTTACGGTTCTAAGGGCGCAGTACCCGGGCAATGCTCGAACGCCGGCAATGGAACCGCGCGCCCGTGACGGAGGTGAGATAGTGGATACTTGCTGCTGACGAAAATATTCTACCTGGTATCGTAATAATATTTAAAATTAACCACTTCGTAAAGATTTATTATCTGAATTATACTTTAAATATTATAGTGTAAGCATTTCCTCTGAAAATAAATAATTAATCACAGTTGTTCATCTTTTTTTTTACATAGAACATCAACACTTATTAGTTCTAAATCTATAAAAAAATGTAATTATATTAAATCAGTACATTAAATGCTGAGATTATCACGTTCTACAAAACAAATAAATCTCTATATTTAAACAACGTTTACAAAACATTAGTATGGGATATAACTAATACCGTCTTTCCATTTACTCGTATTTTTCAGACTAAATTAATTAATCTTTCAGATGTGTTCATGTCAATACTCATTTTGTATGTTTGTCTCTGATTTACCAAATAAATATTTACTAATCTCTTTTCCGAAACTTACCTGTAAACTATGATCTGTGTCGGAAGGTATAATATCCGGGTTTCTATCGTCACTTTCGCTGTCATCTTTTTCACGTAGTTTATCTGGTGACGCTGGCTGTGATGGTGGTGGGGCTGAACGTGGTTTCCTTTTAGCACATCTCTGACGCACCACCACCATAAATAATACCAGAACCACCATAAGAACGCCACCACCTCCCACAGCCGCTGACATAGCTCCGGACATTTGAAAGGCCGTTCGTGGTAAATCTACAAAATTTTCACATTTTATTAAACATTGACAAATAAAAGAGTTATTTGACAGACTGCATTTGTACTTTAGTCAGAATGATATAAAATTTGCGAATAAAACTGCGTAATTTATTTTCAGGTATATCTATATACTAGCTGCGCCCCACGGTGTCTTCGGATTTCCGGGATGTAAAGTAGCCTATATGTTATTCCTGGACGTCAGCTTCCTGTATACAAAATTTTATCAAAATCGGTTCAGCCGTTTGAGCGTGAAAAAGCAACAAACATAAACAAACACTCACAAACTTTCGCAATTATAATATTAGTAGGATTAATGTTATTTTTACACACCCAAACTCTTATCATGTACATGGTGTTTCTCTGGTGGACGAAGGGTACTTGCTCTCAAGGGGTATGGGTCCCCACGGCCTTTCGCATTATATGCAAGTACAGCCGCTGCATAGGTACGGCCTGGTACAAGACCTACGGCTGTGAATCTTGGCACTGCGCTCGAAACGTTGGCAACTATTTCCTGATGGAAAAGTAGACTTCAGTTATTCAAAACTAGCTTTCCACCCGCAGCTTCACCCGCGTGGAGTTCGGTTATATCGCGTTTCCAAGAGAACCTTTCAAAAGTCTGGGGTAAAAACTATCCTATGTTCTTTCTCAAGGTCTACTCTATCTCTGTATCAAATTTCATTAAAATCAGTTCAGTGGTTTAGGCGTGGAAGTGTAACAGACAGACAGAGTTACTTTCGCATTTATAATATTAGTAGGGATAATTTAGAGAGATATGTAAAATTGAGAGTTCCAGACTCTTACAAACGTTTAAAATCGTTACTGTCGTAACTAAGCATCCTGTTTTAGTAGTTCCTGTCCCCAATATTCAATATTTTAAATTCTCCCAATAGTTTATTTAAATAAAAAATTACATCATCATACAAAATATAACCAGTTCTTTAGTTTTAAGTTTGTAAAACTTTGACATACTCATATTGATTAACGTGTATGAATTAAGAAGTTCCAAAACGACTGATTTGGGAATAACTCTCAAATTTGTATTGAGGAATAGTTTGAAACTAAGAATATAATAATAACTTCGATGACATTGTCGCCTTGATTATATAGAACTTATTAAAATAAGTCAATTGGGATAATAAACTAATTAAAATTTATTTTAACTTTTTTTTACAATTCTAGAATTGTCTTAATATTAAAGAAATAAACGAAAATTCCAATCTCTAATATACCTTTCATAATTGTTGCCAAGACATCTTTTGTTTTATAAAATCCTAATGAAAAATATCTTATATATTCACTTACTTGTGTAACAATTTCTCTCACTTCTAGCAGAAACGATTGAGGCATACCACCATTGAAACCTTCCGAGCATCGAACTCCGAACGATGTCAGTGAAGCATTAACTACTGTACAGTTATGCACTTGATCTGGCCGACCTGTTATTTATATTTCAAATTAAAACCATATAAATAATATTTTCTATTTATATTATTATCTTTTCTAATAAAATCGCCTGTAAAAGGATGTCTCTTTATAACAATTTGTATCAGATGTGTGATTAATCTTTGGGAAACTTGGCACGCGACCCGTCTGGATTAAAGGAGGACATAAAACGGGCTATATATTTAAAAGATAACCTTTATCCGAAACAGTATGTCAGATGTGCTACCGTTATAACCCAGTTTCACATTTCAAAGATTTATATTTAATATAAAATGTATCCGATATTAAATTAGATTTATTTTTATTCATCACCTATACTCTATAGCATGAGTTAATTTAACTATACGTTTTTTCTTTATCATTCTATACCAGAAATTATATGTGTCAATACTCAGTTATATATTGGTGGATAACAAATCTCAAGCAGAATACTTGGCACCGAATCGAGCTATTAACATTAAATCATATGAAGATACGGCATAATAATGAAAGTCGTATATTAATGAAAATGATTATTCCATATATAACACATCTATGTATAAATTATTGATTATCGACGCTTCAAAGATTCTTCTTCTACCTTGCAATTTCCCAGCTTTAGCCAGGGTCTGCTTTACATTTTGTGAATAATTTTGGCTATTTGTTTTTACGATCCGCCTGCCTGACATCAACCCTCATTAGGAATGCTTAATCAGTGATGTCTAAATACTCTTAGAAAGTACATATGACTCGAAAAATTCACATTGGTACTCGCCAGGATCGAACCAGCGCCCTCGTCACTTCAAAGATTGATTTGTATTAAATAGTATGGTGTTATAAATTGAGTCTTACCGGCAGCAATGATATGATAAACGCAGGGAACCCGTTGTTTCCCAATGCGGTTGTGAGCCCAGCAGAGAAGAGTTCCGTAGTCCATCTCCGTATGAGGAGTGTAAGTGACCGTGGAACTAGTTCCTGATCTTGACACATAAGTATCGCTAACTTCGTTACTGTTCGCCGTATTGTTGAACGTCCAACGGAACTAGTAAAAATAAACGACATTGTAAAGTATTGGTGCTCAAAATGTTTCAATATATTTATTTGTTCTTATTTTTAAATGTAATCTTTAATAAAAATACTTTTTTACGCTTTTCTGCGTAACATTTCCAAAAACATACATTACATTACGGCGTAGGATAAGTAGGTCTGGGGATTTTCCGACAATTTCGAGTCGAATTTATTGATATATAAATTATAAATCTTTAAAAAAAAATTGCGATGTTAACAGAACATCAAACAGTATATAGTTTGTATTCTTTTATTTATATAAATATATGTATAATAGATTAAAATTGATTTTACTTTTCATTTTAGTTTAAATAATGTTCTTTAATGTTAGTATTATGGTATAGTTGCTTTCATCGTGTCTTTTTTATCGACTACTAAAGTTGAGTCTATACAATAAATCTTTCCTCTTATAATATAATAAAGTATGCTTTATTAATAAAATACAGTTCAGTTTATTAATATTAAACGGAGAGACAGTTAACATATAATAGGTAATAGGTATTGTTACTTTTGTTTCGTGGCTATCAATTTTCTGATTCAGAGGTATACTATTTCTAAAGTTTATATATACTCAAAGTACTATTTGTACTCCATCATTTGTAGAAGTGAAGGAGAAATTACATAAAAATTTAATACAATTATTTTTTAGGCTATTCCATTATTAAGGAACAAAAAAATTGATCAGTGTAACACCGATACGAAAATTAATTATAACGTCAAAATTCATCGAGTCTCGAGTAAATTTTAAAGATACCATTAATTGATATTAATTTCGTTGCTTGATAACATAAAATTACTTTTACTAATTAATTTTCACAAATTGTCATTCACAGTAAGGTTTCCATGGAATCAATTTCTTATATTATTCTGCTAATTAAAAATAAAGCCTCTAAGAAAATTTATTTCTTTCTACATAAACTTAATATAGTTCCTTATGTGGGATGTATTTTCCGTATAAATTCATAACTCATTTATAACTTTGGTAATAAGTTAGGCGAGAAGGTACAAGTCGCTGATCACAGAGGAAAGTTTCTGTGACGAGCAAAACAAGAATTATTGTTTGCTAATAATCGAAATTAATTGTGATTAAAAATTTAATACCTACTTATAATTCTGACAATTACAATAATTCTTTCGATTGTTATATCTCATCATAAACCTTGCTAAGGATTTTTTACATTTCAGGGATTACTTTTAAGTTTAATCCCATTTATATACGTAATAATATTATTATTGGGTTTTAAATATAATATATAACAAAAAGTTTACACAATTTTATCCTTACTGTGATGTGTATATTATTAAACTTAGTCAGTCATGTGTGAATACTTTTATACTTACGCTGACTTGAGGGGGGTTAGCATCTACGTGGCAAGTTATATGCGCGCGTTCCTGTTTCGCCACACCGTGAACCCTTTGCTGAGAACTCCGACATGTAGGTGCATCTGTTTTTTATTATTAAGAAAAAAATAACATATATATTACTTAAATTCTTCTCCGATTTCAATAGAAATATCCTAAACAATTCAATTTAGTTACAGCCAGATTATGAAACGATTATCTTACTATATAGAACGAAAAGATTGGCAATTATAATAGAAATGATATCGAATAAATAACTAAAAGAAATATAAGGAAAAAAGGACGAAGTTAATTTTGGAATGGGTCCCTTGGGCAGTGAAAACAAAAACGATTATATCTTTTGAAAACTAACAAAAGAAACTCTATAGTATAAAGGTTTTATTTCAATATAAATATATACTGTACATATTGTTTTAAACAGAATTTCATATTAAAGTTTTTATAAGAACAGCAGATGTGGTCGTAATAAGAAGCTCTACCAGACTCTACTGCAGCTTTTTAAATATCAACCAAAAGCAATATAGTGATGTTGTTGTTTATATTTTAAAATTAAATATTACAATAATAATTGAATGAAACTAAGTTTATTGATCTACACTATTTTTACTATTCTATTTCGTCATGTGCACGATTTTTTTCATCTCTTCTCCTCTTGAACTTAATTGCTATAAAGGAACCGAAATGTATAGAACATGTAAAAATTTTGTTATAAATAAACGTGTCGTATCTGAAAAACTTAGTTTCATTCAAATGTGTACACGCAAATGCCTTAAATATTGTTATGCATAGTTAAGTTGAAAAATAAAATAAACATTTAAGTAGTACAGTTCTTTCGTTGGCCTTCATTTAAAATTATATATTATTTTCCGCCAACGTCACGTTGTAAACGGATTTAATAAATTAAAAATGTAACCACTTTTAAATAATACACATAAAGTGAAATGCAATTAAAGTCAACGTCAGTTGTAAAGTTGCAAAAATTGAGGTCAATAACATAACTAAATAAATTTAATATTTTTTTATTAATTTACTTTATTGCACACTATATATAGAATTTCTGTAAAATCAAACTAATTGCTATAAGCAATCAATGAATTTATGTCAATCATAGTATAAAATTTAAATGACATTTAAATTATTTATTTTCGGATTACTTCACGTATTTTAAAAAATCTGATCATTTCATCTGCTCGTGATCTCGGTTGCCGCAAAGTATGTTACTTTCGAAACTTGTTACTTATGAAACGTCGGGAGTATGTAGTTTATTAAAATTAATAAAATGCGAGTAGAAATCCGAAAATATTAGTTTCATTTAAATAAGCGCAAATAACATTATTATAAGAGTAATAACACTACTAATTAGATAAATTACTTACATAAAACATCCAATGAAAACGGTTTACTCTCGCCGTCACCTTCAGCGTTGAAACCAACACAAGTATAGTTGCCAGCTGTTCGTCTGCCAACGCCTTGAAGAACTAACGACTGATTGCTGATGATGATACCTTGACCCACGTTGTGGTGGAGTGTTTTACTCTGTACAAATAACAATTATTTGATATACGTGGCAAATAACTTCATCCCTACTAATATTATAAATGCGAAAGTAACTCTGTCTCTCTGTCTGTTACGCTTTCACGCCTAAACCACTGAACTGATTTTAATGAAATTTGGTACAGAGATAGAGTTGACCTTGAGAAAGGATATAGGATAGTTTTTATCCCAGACTTTTGAAAGTTCTCTTGGAAACGCGATATAACCGAACTCCACGCGGGTGAAGCTGCGGGCGGAAAGCTAGTATTACATAAAAGCTGTTCTAACAGAAACGTGTTAAAATGAGTTCTTGAACCCAATTACATTTTGCCTATTACGTATTGAAAACGAAACATATGTAAAACTGTAAATTAAAATATATAAAATAAATATTCTTTCTGCTTCTGTGTATATTGAAAAAACATATAATTTTATGTAAAATTATCTCTTTCTGAGAGACGGATTTTTAAACACCTCGTTTTGATTAATATTACAGAAGTCATCATTCCATTGAGATCCAATTATATCATAATCATCCCTCCCACTTGTCTCGAAATCCATCGACTTATACTTTAATAACATCTCTCAGAAACATAATAAAAATCCTAAAGATCAAAGACATACAGATTCAAATAACATTTAATTAAAATAAACTCTCATCTTACAGAAACCTTCTATAATTATAGCCACGTGGGTATAATAAATTTTAATAACGCTTACGTTATCCATACTTCTGTGAAGCCTCAAAGTCAATATGATAATATTAATGACACTCACATTATGTCTCCACTCGACTTTGTACACGTAGGGATGTGCTTTGATGATGCAATCGAAGTAGACGTCGGTCCCTTCCCTAATATTGGTCGGGTCTAAATTAGTGCCGAGCCGGACAACCGTTTCGGGCACATCTGTTGGAAATTAAATTTTATAGAGGTTACTATTACGTTAGTGAAATATGTGCTCAGTAACATTCACAATAGTCGAACAATATGTCACGGTTTTAATATATATTGGATATTTTAAGGCTTACATTGAATGTCTAAAACCCAGTCATCTTCGAGAGCTGGTAATGATGCCATTTGAGGATTTGACGCTCGACACGCGAGTTTGGCGCCCGCGTCGGACTTGGTTAATTGTATTGACACTGTTGACGTGGTGGTGTTACCATCAGTAGATAGCTAATTAAAAAAGAAACTGTTAAATTCTGTGTCCAGAGTAATAAAATATGATCTCTTTCATAGTTATATAAATAACAACATAAAAGTCGATTTTATAAACACAACAAGTTAAATACGTTTTGCTTATTAATATTATCATATATTGTTTCGTTACATATTTTAATTAAAATATAATAAAACACTTCATTTAGTTGATAAGTTAATAATTCATAATATTCATATCTGTATGTCTCCTTGAAAATCGAAATTTAATCTTTAGAAGCCAAATACATTTTGACAGATGTCATTTGTTTTTCGATTTTTTCTTAAGAAGCCCCTAATTTTTTAGCCTTATTATAGATGTGTATTAAAAATGATAAGTTCGTCTTGGATTAAGAATATTTAGCTGAAGAAATTACATATGTACGACACAAGTTAAATAAGATCTTGTAAAACATTTCGCACACTAGTTATGTAGTATTATAAATTGAGACTTACTGGTTTACCACGTATAATAGATTAAATCGTTCGTGTAGCATTAACTTTATTACTTTTTAACAAAACGCATTTCCAATCGTCTTTCTTAAGAGCATTTGACGATTATTTTCACTCGTTCACGCCCGAGCTAACGTGTGGAAGATTTAATATCCACTCAAATACTTATAAGATATGCAATTATGCGTCTCCAAGTGTGTTCCATTTGATAGCGCCCGAAATAAAACATTATACATTTTTGAAAACAGTGTATCATACTTATGTTAAGAAATAATTAAATAAGCATAAGATTCAAAAAAGCCAAGGACAAGTTTTAATATGGCACTTTGATATATATTTTTAAGCAAAGTAACTTGAGTGTATTATAATTTTAAATGAAATTAATATTTTTCCGATTATACACACTACGCGACTTTATTTTTGTAAAAAACTACATACTCCCGACGTTTCGGCTACTTTTCACATCTCGTCTGCCCGTGATCACGGTTGCTGAATCTTAGATCTCATTATGTATTATACTTTTTATTTGAAAAATGTTTTCAAAATTGATCAACAAGTAAGGCGTATATTATTATCTACACTTCTTTGCTTATAAACGTTAGGAGCTCGTTTAAAAGTCACTATTTCTCTTGATCAGATGAATCTATCCAAATTTTCTATATCCTGCACTCATTTTGGTCCTTTCTTACGACCGGTTTGAGTACGCCCAAGGCACTGACTGTCCCATTCAATCTACATTTATTACTTCTACGTGCCCTTATTTTAAGTTGACTTCGCGATGTTGTTTCTCGTGGTAATAAAGATTATGGGCGTCTCTATAAATTCAGTTGGCGCAAAATTAGCTTTGTCTTTGAAAGTTGGGAATTGATTAGGCATGATAATGGGCTATTTATTAACGGTACTATAGACTTCGGGTTTAAGAGATTGGTATGGAAAATTGTATGAGGTAAATATTTTACAAAATAAATTACTTTAAGATAGAATGACAATATTATCATATTAATTGCACAAATGTATATAGTTCACATCACCTAACAGTAAGTTCTTTGCTCTTGCTCTTTATGCTTAATTGTAGACACTTTTGTATTCAACATAAAAACATTTTATTTATTTTCATGTATATTCATAATGTTCTACAAAAAAGTTCACTGAAAATCTCTTACCTTAGTTTGTTGTTTCGTAAACAGCTTATTGGAAATTGCTTATTTTTATCTCAGATTAAAATTTCAACTAAGTGTATTGAAACACAGTTAACTAACTGACATAACTTCAACAGATGAGTTTCATGCAAAAACTATCTTTGTAAAGAATCTTGAGAAACATAATTAATGCACATGATTAAACAAGATGATAAGTCTAACAATCTTGTTAAAGGAGGTGAGATGTTTCAATGGAAATGCTACTTTAATACCGTTTCTTTAGCGTTGTTTATCCTGTGTCCATTCTTCCACCAGGTGATTGAAGCGGGCGGACGTGACCCGGAACTCTGACAAAGAAGATCATATCTCCTGCTCGCTGATAGAGGTTGATTCGAGCCAAGAATGTGTACGTTCAAGGGGGGAACTGTAAGAATATCATGATATAATAAACTACATACATATATGACTAAGACTTCTACATGAATGTAAGAAATTGTCGTTGTTACGTTATAAATACTGGCTAGTGATACGGCAAACATAATTAATACTATTATTTTATTTTGGTATACATTAATACTTTAGCAAAAAAAACTAAGATTTATCTGTGATAAGAGATTTGATTAAAATACGAATTTAGTAAAGAGAAATATAATAATCGTAAATTATATAAAAACCTAATTTTGTAAACTGTTTTTATTTAGGGGAAGCTTATTTATATCTTTATAATACTTTGTATAATCCGAGCAATTTATGAAGTCATTTTATCCTCTTTCACCTGATTTGCAAGTTTTCTAACAAGCAAAGTTGACAGGTGTCACTTTCAGAGTATAGAAGTGAAACAGATTCTCACTGCGGTGAATATTTAGGTCATTTTATAGGCTGAGAAGTTTCTTACTTAACTACGTAGCCAAGTGTTAAAGTTTAACAATCAACCGGAGTTACACTACTTGGATTTTTTAATCTCTGTTTTAATATCTATTTCTTTATGTAAATACAATTAAATTATTCAATGAAAAAAATATATGTAGCAACATCGTAATTTGCATAAAATATACACGAAATATTTTTATAAAATCATAGTTAAATGACTTACAGTTCATGTCTAATGTGAGTGTAGTTTCAATAGGATGTGCTCTCAAATGATTCGAGGCACGACATGTAAGCGTCGCCCTGACATCGGCTCGGGTCAAAGGGCCCACTCTTAGCACACCCCTAACGCCGTTACCCTGTAGTGTAGTTGCTGGAGTGTCGGTCTCCACTTCATTTCTAAACCATTTCACCCAGGGTCGTGGACGACCTATTTGAACATTTCCAATTAATTTATTTCACATTCAACCGCTTATTACATGTATAAAATTAAACCAAAGCCATAGAAATTGAACAAAATTTAATGAGTACTAAGATTTTCGCGAGTACACATTTAAATGAAACTAATATTTTCGGATTTTATTTCGCGTATTTATTTTTGATTTCGTCTGCCCGTGATCAGGGTTGCTGAAAAGTAGCCGAAACGTCGGGAGTATGTAGTTTATAATCAAAAATAAACACGCTAAGTAAAATCCGAAAATGTCAGTTTCACTTACAAAATTTAGTAAATAAATAATATGTTGTCATAGTTTTGTGCATGTAATTTAATAATGGTAGAGAGAAAAATAAAGAAAGGTTAGATGATAATTTTATGAAAATTAAACATTACCTCCAGAGACATCGCATTTAAGCGTGAAAGTGTCTCCCTCGACGTAGGGTCCAACGATGGCCTCTTTCACATCGCCTTTGTCGTCCGTTATTATCATTTTGTTTGGTGGTACTGTTTTAAAGATAATATTTATATTTTTAACACAAAAATCTTTAAAAAAAAATCATACACAAGATAACCATTTTATTCTACTCATAATAGTTATTATTTTTTACTCTTAAAAACCGAAATGCACTAAGAAATAATTATATTAAATATTTATGAAATATCATGTTAGTTTAATACACGAGTATGTTACATTGTGTAGCCTAAGTTGTATTCAATTGGAAAATTGCCATATTAGTTTGGGAAATCGGATAAATTTGATCGACCGTTTAAAAGAGGGTATACTGCATTATGTAATATAGTAAATATCATATATTATTTTTAAAACTAAATTAATATAATACGATGTGAATATGAGTCCGAAAAACATTCTACAAAATACCCTTGAGATGACATCTAAATAACTGCAGAGTAAGTTTCGCTCAGTTTTTACATAATTTTTTTATGGCTTTCATTAAACTCCTCAATCTGATATGGTTTAAATATTTAATGTAGGAATAATAATATGCACGCTTTTTTCTATTCTGTTCTGAGGCCATTATAATAGAATTATTATTTGTTATTTATTAAAATGCTCTATTGATAAATAAAATTGTGATTTCTTACTAATAATTGTTCAAAATAAAGTGGTAATCTTTAAAACTTGATTTTGATTCTGTCAAGTTATTTATGTCATGATTGACGGTTTCAGAGATAAAAAAATATTTTCATTACATTTAGTATGTCTAAACAGCTTGGCAAGGGTAATTTCGTAGAATATTCGAGCTAAAAATGTCGCCTGTTAGCTGTAGTCTAAGAAACTCCATCTGGCATCCAACCAAAGAAGGGTTGAAGATAAACTGCTGGGAGATAAAAACATTTGCCACAAATTCATTTTCTCTTTAGTTCATTTAAAACGCTCCCAGGCAGTGTTTGCCGTGTATTTTATATCTATGCTTGGATGCTGTTCTTTTTCAGCTTAACTAGCCATTAAAATTACAAAGTGCATAGCAACAAAAAATATATAAGGAGCTTAGAAATGAAGGGTGTCTGTGTGCATCGTGAGCTTTACTAACATCACTGTTTAGGTTGGACATGTACTTGGGATTTTAAAAACTTGAACAAACTTCGAGATGTAATATGATATTCTAACAATCACTTTTCCATGACAACTTAAAAATAATTCGCGTCTGTTTTATGTTATAAATCTATTTCATATAATTCATTTTTGTTTCCAAATTGGAGCAACATTTAGTTGTATTTAAATTTATTATTTAGTAGCAGTCCAAGTTGACGTTCCAAATAAAGCACGAACATTCTAAAACTTCCTTTGTGTATGAATTAAATTGTTATTCGTGTAACATAAAGTTGCATATATCATTTTGGTCCTACATATGTCCTTTGTGAAGTGAACTGGATTCGAGTGTGACTTTGTGTAGAAAGCTCTAAATAATCTTATCCGCCGAAGCTGAGTGCACTTCTACATGATATACATGGGGGAATATTTCAGAGTGCCTTTTTGCAAATCATGTGTTATATATAATTCAGGTTTCAGTTACTTTATCACTCAAATATCTCATAAGAATATTAATCGATATATAAGTTTTATATCGAATAAAAAAATTGCAGTAATAAGCAAACAAGTTCTCTTTTGTTATTCTATTATCTTTTATCAACTAAAGTACTATCAATTATATTAAACAAACAAAATCTGCGCATAAAAATAAAGAGGAAACAAAAACAATCTTTCTTTTAAGTTGGTTACAAAAACATTATTCTTATTTCTTTGACAATATTTTAGAAGCCGGATAAACGTTCATCCCGAACCTATAATTATTATCGTATTAGTCTACAAAACAAGATTAGCGCCAGATTTTAAACCTGTCAATAACTCGAGGATCAACCAGTTTCACAAAGCGGATTTAGAGCTCAGTTTTGGTTCATGTTAATTTTTCAATATACTTGAACAAAAACCACATAAAATTACACTGTTTTCGACCTTATCACCGTCGCAGAAGTATGTTGATGCTATCCGAAGTTATTTAAGCTATTGATTTTTCCATACATTCCGCCTTGCCCTGTGTATTTTACTTCAATTTGGATCCATCAATTTTTAAAATAAATTGGATCCGGATCGAGGCTTTTATGAAATTGTAATTTTTACATTCCTGGCATTTTACCGTTATTATAATTTGCATATTCGTTATATATTACGGCACAATTTGTTCAAATAGATTTTTATCTGTCAATGATATTTCTCAATAACAAGGATGATATACTTTTTTGAATATATTAAAAGGTCTAAACTTACCAATAACAGTTAAATTAACTCTTGAATTTCTAGTTTGTGCCTGTTTAAAATCAACTCTACATCTATATATTCCTTGATCGGAGGCTCGAACTTTATCCACACCTAGCTCGGCCGGTCTTCTTTCTGGTAGGAAGTAGGCTCTTGACGCAAAAACACTTTCGTCGGACCATCTTTCCGCTACACCAAAATCTTTTTCTCTAGCATCCACGCTGCAAATAATAGTTTACTTATTTTGATTTAATATCGTTATAAAAAAAGAACAAAACACACCATTTAACCTAGATTCAAAAGATAAAACATTTCCTTTAGATAAATTATAATGTTTTAAAATTTCAAAGTTATTTTCACTTCAATAAATATTAATAGGTATTTTAATAAAAACATAACATCCTAGAGGAAGTCTGAAAATAAATAGTATCAAGCATTTTTTCTTAGAAATCTTAAGGCTCATTAAAGAAAATTGAATTATCGAGAAGACGAGAATCGTTCGAAAGAATTTTAATATAGGAATTTTTATATTTTTACTTATATTGCTTCAGTTATTGATTTGTTGTAATTAATCCGTCATAAATATCGCAAAACAAAATGTTTAGTATTGTTAACAAAAATCAGAACACTAACAGTTACTAATTCAAATGTGAGCAAAAGGACGATTGAGTTGTCAAGGTAGTCGTACTTAAATAAACGAAGAGTATCAATTGTTTTTATTTGGTAAATAGCATGTAAGGATGTTATGTAAGCATAACCAGATATTAAGTTTACGGTATAAAAATGGTATAAAGTACGGAATGCTGACTCTGTCCCATCGGTGGGAATGGGAAAGTGAAGTGGACACCGCACCATCGGTGGGAGTGTAAAATGGGATTTAAAATATATTCAGTCTGGAGTCAACCGCTGACTTACAGACACCTATTTAGGATGTAGTTAGTTATAAGATTTAATTAGCTCTAGCTAGTAGATAAATTTAAGTATTAATTGTCAAATTGAATATATTTTATAACTAAAACGGATTTTTCTTGCATCCTTCGCTGCCACCAAATGTAATTAGGATGTAAATGTTTCAGTATCTAATCTTTGGTTTGTACACTAACAATTTGTAAACCATCACAACAAATGTAAAATAATAATATCTAAACAGTAAATTTTTATATCAAAATATTTTTATAACATAAATAATTTATGTGAGATATAATTGGACCCATCTTTTTGATATCAAAACGATTTTTTGGTACTTCAGGTACTAGAAGATCAATCATAAAGAATTAAGGGCTCTCGACGGAATGAAATAATGAGAAAATATCTCGTTTGACAGAAACGGTATGAAATAACATACTGAAAGAGTCCTTTTAAGGTCAAGGTCAAATGTCGGAGCCCAGATGCTAAATAAGTTCAAGCCTAAACAAAATTGTCTTATTTGAGAATTTGTATATGTAAGCTAGACATAAATTTTGTCACATGTCAAGAGATTTTTTTTACTATAAACAATTATATGTATATATTTGGATAAGTATTCTTACATGAAACCGATAAAATAATTTTATTTCGTTACTTTGTTTTATGTTTTTAATTTACATATAGTATAAACATTTTAAACAAAATATACAAGTCGGAAAATGATACAACAAGTCAAAGTCTTGCAAGAAATTCTCTTTATGGGTAAATTAAAAAGAATACGAAGTTTCTTTTTATATTAATATATTTTTGCTAAATGAAAGCAGAAGGTCTCATATTTAATACAGTGTTTATATCTTTAATAATGTCTTATTGTAATACAAAAAATTGTCCTTTCAATTTCATTAAAAGATAACAAAATATTATATTGTTATGTTGTCTCTGTGTTAATAATTATGAAAATTTGGAGATTAACTTTTAAAAAAAATTATTCAATAAAAAAGACCCAATGTTACTATCAATATCCAATATCTTAGTTTTCAAAATAATATCTTTTTGACTAAATTTATTTGCTCGCTTCATCAGCCCTTTATCTAGAAATTGTAGTAATAAAGTAATTTGTTGTAAACGCCACTTTTTAATAAGTTATAAGCAAATTGTTTGTGTTTACAATACGTCTTCATTTTATGTTTTTTTTTTTTTAATATAGAAATGTTCTAATATAAAAAAATAACTTTATGATAGAAGATAATAGCAATGGACAAGTTATTTTTTGTTATAAAAAACAAATTTAAATTTGGTTCTTCTGTCTTTATGTTATACATACATTTTAACCTTGTAACTATTATTCCTGATGTGGTACAGCAAACGAGATCATAGAAATCGGACAACTATCCTAATAGCCTACTATACCTAGCACTGGCAGTTATTTTTCATATCAGACATTTAACTATCTTCCTCTGGGATTAATAACACTCTATAATCTGCGAATAGGCTTTATAAAGTGAACTTACATCAAATATTAGATAACATTCATTTATATTTCATAAAAATTATGAGTTTTGTAAAAATATTCAATGGATCGAGAATCAGAAATGTTTTATCAAAATAGATGTCTAAGAAGGAATGAAGGTTACTAGGAAACGGAGACGAAACCTCTTAGCATTCAATGGATTCACCGTGCGGGTGCCGGGTCCATCGCGTTGTAGAGAGAGGAGCTTCAACTTCAAGGAGTATATATCCTGTAGTGTAGGAGTATATAAAGCTCTGAACATTTCTTTCTTACCTGTATATAGGCGTGCCCAGATCCTCTCGATACCACAGCACCAGAAGCACTGCATCTTCTTCATCCTGTGTAGCGATGTCACACGGCAAATACACCGGTTCACCAGCCACTGCCACCACTTGTGTCATCGGCACTGAAAAGAAGACTCTTTCTATAATAGTCCTTTTTTCATGAATTTTTTGATATTACATATCTTTACATATATTGTTAGATCATTTAAACTTTCAGCAAGATTATTTATGATATTGCAATCATTGACCTTTGAAGCTCGCTCTAAATACCTTAAATTTATTTATTATTTTATATATTTTACAAATGAATTTCCTCTTATTATGCCATCACTTACGTTATATTTGACCAAGTTGAAAAAGTTTGTAATGAAAAAAAATCTTAATTATTATATGAACATCTAAGTATCCGATGCAACTTAAGAATGAACGGACCAGGATAAAACATCTCGTCCAGAGCCCCCCCGTAGTTGTATATACTACATGTCCCGTTACTGTCCCATTTTAGCCCCGTTCCATTCCATGTTCCCTGTTGTCCCGCCAACTGGCTGAGAGAGAATGAGAAAATACAGTGGAGAGGCTATCTGTTACTAGCAGCACTTTAATTTATGCATCGCAGTATCCGTAATGGAAAATCGTTGCTTTTTTATCTTGGATGGAGAATTTATTGTTTGTTAAGTCAATTAGTCCGTTGTCTTCAGTTAATAGTTTGTTAGATAAATAGAATAAAAGAGAATGAACATATTTTACTCCCTGCTACTACTATTTATTATCTTAAAAGGACGATAAATATTTATTTAAGTAGATACATTATTTCTATAGAACTAATGGAGGGTTGGTAGTTTAAGGAAACTGTGAAAACGCTACCACCATTCATCATGACATGCTTTCTTAGGAATGTAAAATCCCCATAAGGACACAGTTTCAAGCTTTACAGTATGTAAATGGCTATCGAAGGTGAACCTTTGATACAACCCCAAAAACGCTTCATCAGCTACAACAGGGTGTTCTCATCCTTCTTCGGATGTAGTAGTGTTTATCCTCAGGAAGACATCTAGGTTTCCAAAGTGAGGTTTCGCCTCTTATAAGTTAAATTGGTCCTCTTAATCTTTTCTCTTGGTGATCTTGTTGTTGAGAATCACTATTCCGTTTGAAGAGACCAGCATCTTAAAACACTACACTCATCATCACAGTCGCTACTCACGCTCCCAAGGATAGATGTTTATTAGTCTCTGCAAACTAGTTTCAAAGTTTGCTCAGTCACGGAGGCTACTCCCCCAGCATGTGCCGGTTCGAGAAATTTTTGAAGAAATCTAATAAGAATTAGTTTTAAACTTGAAAATCTAAACTATGTGTATATTCATAGAAATAGCTAACTGATTTATGCGCATACGATATATGTAAAAAAGTATATAATATTAATAAGAAGAAAAGATGACGTAAGCTATTCATAATACTACAACCTAGTAATATACAAACCACATTTGGCTTCTACGGTGAGTAATTTATAATGTCGACTCGATCGCCTATTTGGTGAAACCAAAGCTTGTGTACATGTATATACTATGCATGCAATGCTTCAGTGATCTCAAGAGTAAGATAGTTTAACTGCACACACTATGAAATGAACATTTTGATATAATAAGCTCAGTTAACTATAAATGGAATAGTTGGAGTACAAACAGATATCATGAATAATTAATATGCTTGAGAATTAATTAATTATATATTTCCCTCATACATCAATGGAGTGGAATTTAGTTTATACATCTTTCCAAATATTTGTTCATTTGGTAACGGAATAACTTGTATATACATACATATATATCGTATCTACATTAGTATATTTACTCGACAAGCTTTGAAACATTATTAATTTCCGATTGTCGTATCGCTAGATCTTTTCAAATACTTTCTAGTTAAGATAACGCTCCGAACGGGAACTTATGAAAGTCGGTTATTTTTTCCCCTGAAAAATATAAAAATCGATGTTAGAAATCTTATACTTGCAGTTTTTGTGTACCTACATACAATTATTTACGGATCGAACAAAAGATTGGACAAAGGATTGATAGAACAAAATTGTATTGGTTTAAGTTATTGAATAGGTAAGTGTGTTAATTTTATGACTATGAGCTAAAATATAATTGTACTACATACATAAATGTGAAAAAAAATCACATATTTATTTTTCTTATTAATTTATTTAAATAAGTTTTATATTAAATGAATTGGTTTGCTATTTTGTAACCTGTATTTGCTTCATAATCTATATTAATTGCTTTATAATATGCATTAATAACATTTCAGAAATTTGCTTACATGATAATAATTTAGATAGTATTGATTGATTTAGGACATGTTTTACAAACTGAACTGAATTTTGCTGAATGGAAGGGCTTTTTTATTGAAAGTCGTATACAAATAAATATTTCTTTTTTTTGACCTAAATGGATATGAATAATACTAAGACCCTATTCCGGGCTATGTTAGGTATTTTCGAGTAAGCGTTGAAAATACATATACTTCGTCAATACTACACAGTTAGTCCAAAAGTCCATCCTCCAGTGAGTTAAGTGTTCATAAAATTGTAGGACATCGTTTCGTCAAATTTAACGCGGTAGCTCAAGGCACCAGTACTTGACCAAAGGGTATTTCTACCGATCCTATATGGATTAGAGCTAAGGTCACTAACTATATATTAATCTGAAAGTTTTACTACGTTATCGAATCAAAAACGAAGAAATTCATAAAAAATAAATAAAAAAGTAATAAAGCCGTGACGCTAAAACGACTACCGTATGGACAAAAAGCTCGAAAGACCAACGACCTATGGGACTTATAGGTACTCAAAAGACGATAACGTATGTATAAGGTTAGGTGGACAGCCTACCAGATTGACTAACCACCAGATCATATCGTTAGGACGCAGGACCTGGTTAAAAAGACAGGTTAGTAGAGGCACATCTCCATTATTGGGTGATCACCTAGGCTTATGATGATCTAATAATAATAGTTTAAACAAACCATAAAGTTTAAAAGCGAACTGTATTTGTATAATGAATATTAAATTATTCATATTACTTTCTTCTACTTACATATAAAAACCCACCCAAATTGTTAAATGAATAAAAACAATTAATTTTATACCTTAGAAAGAGAGTATATTATTTTAAAGAATTTTTTAATTAAAGGTAAATGTAGTAAAAATATTATTTTTCCCTCATCATTTCAATATTAGACAATGCTATTATAATACTGTATAAATTGTAAGACAAAAAAAAACGATCAGAATATTTGTTTACAGGGAACGGAATAAGCAAGCACCTAGCAAGTTCCATTATATTAACATAATCCCAACAAAGCGTGCTATAGTCATCTGAAATTCCGATGAAAGCCGCTTAAATATTATGTTAATAAAGCTATTATCAGGCAAGCCATTCGTCGTCACCGAATTGTTCCGAATGGCCAAATCTAATAAAGCTCCAATACATAAACAAATCCATAAATTTAAAAAAGACTGCAATCCGCATAATAATTGCGATGTTGGTATTTATTGCTAGAACACTGGATTGTTAAAAGGAAAAAAAAACAATGAACTAACAATACAGCACTATTGTCAAAATCTAAGTTCATTATTATATTTTTAACAATAGCGCTAGAAATAGAGATAATAAACAAACTACGACAATTCGTTGCTGCAACATTCAAAGTTGCAGTTTTGCCAATCCTACAGTGAAATGTCTGAGAGCACTTGTCAGCTTTTGGCTCCGAGGTGAATTTTTAGTTCCACCATTGAAGGGTTCCCGTCTATATATTGAAAGTTCTTTTATCAGTTGTCGACGAATTTAAAATTGTTCTGCTTTAACTTGATTTAAAGTTAAAACTTTTTAGTGCCGGTTCGGGTGACCTTTTTACTTAAACAAATTTAACTTCAACTTTTATCTTGAAGAAATAACATTTAAGTTGTCCTATTCGATTGTCATAACCACTTAACGTTGAACAAACATTAGATATCTGAAATATCTCAGTTTGTTCACGTTGTACAAACATTTTGATAAATAGAATTTATGAAAACACACTTTTCATTTGTAATAATGAAGTGTTCAAGGTCTTAGCGTTATTCTTATGATATATCAATATAAATATTGAACAATATAAAAGTTAATCGAGTAAGAACAAGTTATAATAAGGATAATTAAAACTTTCACTTCGATGCCGAGTAGTAAAGGCTCATCACCTTCTAATCTATATAATAAATGGATAAACATCACGAAACAAACTTGCATAATTACCATATCAGTTGCCTCCACGTAACATACTCACGCTAGCACTTTAACAAATAGTAAGGAAGATTGATGAGACTCAAGAAATGACTTTCCGCCGTATGAATTTTGAATGTGTTGGTTTTGTATGTGATTCTTGTTTGTTATTAAAGTTTGGATCTAGCTTCTGATATTTGGAATGGATAATATTTAGCTTGTTCCTAATTGAAAAGTATCGAAATAGAAAGTTAGAAGGTTGGGTGAATAGTAAGAATAATAAATTTCCTTGGTTGTGTATCGATTGGACTGTTGACTATATATTTTTTTACGTGACTTTAATTGACATTATTATTGGAGGATCCAAAGGTGTTTTTATTAGGAGTTCCTAATTGGGATATTACAAAACAGGAACATATAAGTTTGAATTGGCTTTCAATGTTTTATGGCAATGACTATCTTTGCAATTCTACATATTTAAAATCTTATGAAGTATTATAATAATAACATTACATGACTCTACACTCCGTTACATGTTATAGAATGGATTCCTCAGAAAAAAAATCTTTTGAAAGTAAACTAATAACGAGAAGCTGAAACAAAGAATATTTCAAAGTCAAGCTCAATATTTTACTATCGAACATCGCTCGCTTTCTGTATAAGAATATTAATAACAGAATCGGGACGTCGATTATGTATTACAACAAAGAATACTGTTATCTTATATATTATTCATAGTGTAATTTGTAACATTATCAGAGTGTACTCGTATAGAAATACGACACGACCTTGCGTATCCTCGGGGAAATCTCCTCTTGTCTTGATCTAGCGTGAAATATGACGCAGACCTCGTTCGTATGAGTACTGTTAAGATTAAACACTACAGATTATATGAATTTGTAAGAATATGACATGTGGTGTTGCTGAATCCCTAGGCGACTCATTATATACTATACCGCGGGTACAGATGTAAATAAAGTTTAAATAATCCAAATGACGATTTAAAGCCTATAAAGATAATTTATACACTCATACAATTCACATATAACAGATATCACACTTCGAAAATAATTATTGTCAAACTGTAATCCGGTTAAAGCACTACCTGTTTCAAATATTGTTTTCGATTGAGTTAGTTCTCAAATTGGTCTCATAAAATCTTAAGAATCCTATAAAATGGCTATGAGGAATGGAAATCTGTTCAACGAGTACCCTAACATTCGTTTATATTGTAGATATGATATAATATTTTTCATATATATAGATATGTTTATATTCAATACTGTTTGAGTCCTAGGCAATGAAAATAGTTTTATATTTTTTTTTTAAATAACTATCACTATATTTTAAGGAATTTATAGCTTGTCATATGGAATTTAATATCATTACGTATATATTAAAATAAATATTATTATGTAGAGAATGAATATCCATAAGAATAAATATAAACTTACAATTAAAGATAGAAAGAAAATTTTACTATAAAAATAATTATTATAAACTTAATTTTACATATAAATCAATTACTTAACTCTTAGTAGGCACAAATATAAGTTTCGTTTGTCTTTCTTTTTTAAACATATTTCGTGGAATCAAATTCACTTCAACATTTAAAATAATCACGCCACTCAAAATGTGTACAATATAGTACATACGTGAAAAACACTAATTTTTGTTTCCAAAACATAGTCTAAGTAACAATAAATGTATATAAGTACTTTAAATAAATAAATATATACTTTTATTCATTTATTTTATTATTCCTCTGAAATATTAACTTCAACGAGATCACATTATACAAGATTTAATCTTGTCGTAATGTTGTCCAGAACAAAGTTAAAATATTGCTTCGTTCAAAGATGAATTTTTAAATTTTTAATATTGTATAGTATGCAGGTAAAATTTCTTTGTTTGTTATATATGGAATATATTTTTGAGATAAATATTTTAAAATAACAACCCATACACCACGCTAATATTTTGAATTATTAATATTTTTGAATATTGATATGATGCTTTCATAATCTTTCTTGAAATTTCGTAAGAAGTATATTCTTATTTTAAAAACTTAAAAAATAGTTTATGTTTTCGGTTTGCTTGAAATGTATCTGCATATATTATTTATTTTATAAACAAATGATTGTATAGCCAAAATTGATAAGCAGAACATAAATAATGACGAATTAGTTCTTACTTCACTTGCTTTGTTAGAGTATCGCAGATTCTTTAGAACTAAACTGAATTTTTGATTTAAATTAGCCACTATAAAAGTACACAAAAAAATTACTTTTCTATATGAAATTACTGTAAATTAAAAACTATGTTTGATAGTTCCGCAAAAAGTTCGTTTAATTTACATAAAATTTAATATCACAGTTGCAAAAGTAAAAATGTGCTCAGTTTGATAACGTTACAAAAAATATTTACTTGAAAGTACTTACCTACTTAAAAAGTGTCTCAATTTTGTACCAAGCACTAATTGGAGTTTGTATTCACAAAAATTGCCAAACAGAAGCGTGAAACTGCCAAATAATTATGCAAACTACATTTTCATTTGACTCAATTATACCTAATTAGCCTTCTAAGCTAAGTCTTAAAGAGAAGCTAAGTATAACATGTTCAAAGCTTCGTTTCCGTAAAGTTTCTGTTTGAGTGATATCTATCAAACTTACGTGCTTCAGCTCTGTAACTGGCTTACATAATAGATGAGTGGATGATGTGGGGTACGTTCCCGTTATCGGCATATTTTCAGCGTTGCGGCTATTACAGTAATGGGCCATTATTTTACGGGTTTTTTGGGATTCAATATTCTAACGCAATAGCAAATGCTTGTGAATTTTGTTGAATAAAAATAAGTTCAATAATTCTGTAATCGTTTTATTGTGTTTGTTTTAAAAATAAATACCTATATTATAATTTCTATTGATAGATTTTTTGTTCCTTATTTACCATTCTATGTTAGTACTGTTCGATATGAGCATGAAAGAAACTTGACATTGATTTCTAGCAAAAACATCAGTCGTGGGATATGTCAAAGGTTTTTTTTGCTTTAATATACATAATAAGCTTGTAAAGTTCTCTATTATTCTATTTAAGATATTAGCATTAAAAATATATAGTTGAATATGTTAAAAATGTATTTTCAATAAAATTATGAATCACGATATAAAACATTAAATAATTACAATTTAGCTTAATCCATAGCAAAGTTACATTTAAAATAGATTTTTTCTTTGTTATTAACTAAATGAATATTTTTAATGCTTGCATTTTACAATTACAAATGAGTGAATAAAGGTTTTTTTTACAAATAACTCCTTAAAATTTTGTCTTTATAGTTAGTATCTCAAGAGATATAGCGCTAAATCTTAGGAACCGCTTTTCAAAGATGTTGGCAGAGCTACAAAATTATTGACCTCACCAGCACGACTTAAAGCTTATAAATACGGCCCTTACACGTCAAAAAAATTTACTCCTCTGAAAACCGCACGGTAAGACCTAAAAAAAGGTAACGTTTCAATGGGCTTAATATGGTCAGCAAATTGTATGGTTGACGATCGGACAAAATTGTTTAATATGTTACTTTTAACGAACTTTTATCCACCTTGTATTATAAATGGACAAGTTTGAGTGAATTTATATCTCAGTAATGAAAAAAACAACCAAACGATTTTTATTTAATCATACTTTTTTTTCCTAGCTTGGCGAAGTAAAACATTTAGCTTTAGAGCATAGAATTTCGCAGAATCTAGAGAAACATTAAAAATAACACAGCTTTTTATACTAAATCTATATTTATATAGTTCTTATTCATTTCAAATTGTAAAATATAATTTATCATCCAGTATGTTGGTGACATTATAATTCTGGTTTAAATTGTGTCAGTTTAAGAAAATTTATGTCATGAATTTGGTAAAATAAAGCGAATGTGAAACAGCGTTGAACGTTAAATATCTCTTTCAATATATGAGCCAAAATAGTCGTAAAGTTGCACACACAATCGCGATATATGGGCAAGAAGGAAAAGTTTTTATCGAGCAAAGTTAATATGGTAATAATGGAAATCTCGTACCAATAGATTTATTTGTCGAGTTATTGTGTAAAAAATGTGGGTAAAAGTTTGTATACTTTTTTTTCTTTTATTATGTACATATATATTTCATGGCGTACAGACTTGGTTTATTGATGTAAGTATTATTGATATTAAATATACATATCAAGGAAATTACGTAAGTAAAGAAATATTTAAAGATTAATTGTCTGAAGAAGGTACATACAATAAAGAGAACTGTACATAAAACAGCTGAAATATTTTCACAATACGATTCCCACATTCACTAGATCGTTTATAACAGCAAATCGGACTCGGGCCATTTACTTACCCCATTGAATCATAATTCCGACCACGTTATTCCACAATCACCGTTGTTTACTTCTAAACAGAGAGTCATTTCGTATTCTGGAAACACCCTCCATATTTCTTCATTAACATGAATTTCTTTTAAACTGAATTGATAGGGTTTAAGTATCGCCCTTTGTACCGGAATCCTCCCGAAGACAGCTTAAATTAAAGCTGTGATTAGAATTATGTACTCCTTAATTAACTTTAACCATTAATTTTACTTACTTATACGAGGAAAATTATGTTCTGTTTTAAGCTCACACGTTAGTTGCTCTAAAATGTAAACTGCTATACTGTACTAATTAGCTTGCTAAGTAACAATACGCAAGAGTACAGCATAAAAGTGCAAATTAGCCACATTTATATTATGGTAATTATGTTATTTAAAACTCGCGTGTTTGTCTTTAAAGCATTCCTAGGACATAATACCCACTTAAGAATAAAAAGTAATTTCTTAATTAGATATATAACCAGTTGACTGGTCGTGTAATATGATATATTTTCTAGTTGTTTTGAAGAACTATTTTTAAATATCTTTTACTTGTTTCAATGTGCGGCTTTTCACTTAAACAAAATAAAGTAATTATCATCCTTAGTCTCTTCGATAAAAAAATATTTAAGTCTTTAATTAGTAGTCAATATCTATAACTATTAAGATCATTTTCCAATATGTGATTTCACATAGTACTAAAAGCAATTGATGTTGTCGGAAATAAATCTTTCAATAGAATAATAAAATAATACTTTTTGATTATTAGAAAATCCTTTAAAAGTTAATTATCATGACATAATGATAATATTTTTCCCATTCAAAATAAACACTAAAAGCAAAATAAAAAACCATGTAAGCTACAATAATAAACACGTCATTCTCACAGCAATAAATATCAGTCGAACTACAAAAAGATAATGGTCAAAAAGATCTTTGAACTTAGATAAAGCTTTCACAATAAAAATTTAATAGAAACTCTGTTACTGGCAGTGCTTCTGAAATATGGCCTGTAAACGAGACAGGAAAACAATTTATTGGCGGTTGTTTTGATAATGATTGGAAATGAGAAATTATCCGCTTCAAAGCCTCTTTGTTATTCGATATTGGAATGGAAATTATACAATTAATATTGTATTGCATAAAATAAGTTTTTTATTCCGTTCAATTGTACAATGTTCCGACACAAAGGATGTTTTAAAATATTATTGTAGGATATCTGTCGTATTTTAAATTAAAATTTTACCTTTGATTAATTATGTTTAATACTGGGTAGTCCTGCTTTTTTCTTGTACATTTAATAATTATTATTGAAAGTGTCACATCCGTATAAAATGAATATATACATAAAAATATTGCTGTGCTCACAAAATTTAATAATATTAAGAGAATTGCCAGGTCATAAACATTTCTTACCATCGAGCCTTGTTCCATATTAAATGTTAAGAATTATTAAACTACTCATAACATAAGAAAGCCAACAGATAGACGTTGAATAATACAAGTGTTGTGTCTCAGCCGTAATTGTATTACGCATGGGACATGTTTGTTCTGAATAAATAGCTGAAAGTATTTATCATTCTCGTTGTTTACACGGGATAATGTGACATCGCTAAATCATAGGAATTATTTCACTGCCTCTTTCAAGTTCCCTTGACAGGCGACCTCGCGTAAATAACTAAAATAAATATAAATTAGGACATTAAGGAAAGCATCCTACACACTTAACCTTGTTATTTAAATATTTACTTGCATTTCTTTGTCTGTAATTTTTCGTCTTTTATCATTAATGACGAAATATGTTCAAAGCATGTCCTTTGGCGACTAAAACCAAGTAATTCTAATTAGTAACTTTAAACACAAATGCTCAAAATATTATTCCTCACAACAATGTATATTTTTTCATTCCGTTTCCATCAATAATATTCTCATTCATTACTTTGTAGATCTTTTCTTAAACTATATAGTAAAAGTAATAAATTTATATTTGAAATTTTAGTTAAATAGAGTTTCGTATTTTCTGAGGAACAAGATATTCTAAGTCATTGCAAAAATATGTTTAACCTACTTATAGTTGGTTTCGTAATATGAGAGACACTACACGACAGTTTTAATAATTTCAAATCGTAAAATAACTTTAATTTTTAACACCAGATGGAAAAAGGAAGGGGGGTTATAATTGAGTCAAGCGAGAGAAGCGAGTGAAATGCTTTTCTGGTGACTCAGGTCATCCACGGAGATGATCTCGGCAACCGAATTTCTGATCAAGAATTTTTTTTTTCATAGCCCAGTTATCTGAGGTGATTTTTATAAAAAAAAATAGGTTGGACCATCGATCTCAATTTTAAGACCGGAAAACGGAACCCATGTCCAATAAAACGGTTCGGCACCAAAACGCTGAAGCCGCTTCATACAACTTGCATCGAGTTTTTTTTTTGAGCGAAAAGAAAAAAATGTAAAATGTATCTCCTACTATTTATATTAAAGTAATTATTTAAATACATATATATTAATTATTATATATTGCATTGAATACGCTGAATTTATATTTAATGCGAATGATTTGACAGTGAGGAAATGTTATGAATTTAGCAATTTGACAGAATCTTAACTGAAGTTCTCGCTAGCCTAGCATACTATCAATCAACATGAGTACACATAGCTGACGATTGCGGAGTTGACAACTAGTTTGAGAACTGGCTAAGGACACGTAATTATAGTTGAGAAGTCCAAAATCACGAACGAATTTAACAAATAATTAAAAAAACATTATACAGGGTGACTGGTGAATTACTATCGATATTTGAGGACGTGATATTTGACGATCATATATGACGAAATAAAAATTAATATAACATAAATATTAATAAACTTCTAAGTAAAGTTAACCAAAAGTTGTGTAATTAATTACGCATCGTATGAACACCCTACAGATTACTCTACACTACACACTCACACATACGCGCGCGGCGGCGTGTTGTTGTATCAGCACGCCGCCGCACGCGTCCACACTAGGAACACTTGGAACGTGTACACACTTTATTTATTTATACGGAAATTTGGTCAAAAATTAAGTACCTATTTTTTTTACATAATTCGAATGAGAATCATGTACCGAGTATGCTCCTTAAATATTGATAGTAATTCACCAGTCACCCTGTATATCCTTGTTACAATGCAATATAGAATTATAACGAAAGATATTATTAATCGGAATTGGCTTACTGATATATCAAAAAGAAATTCTAACATATAGAATAAAAATCATATATTTCAAATATCTATGAATAGATACCACTTTAATCCGTCGTCGTATTTTGTGAAGAGGCTTTTCAGGTGCTTATGGAAAACTCATCGGGTTGAGAAAAGAAGATATATGATAAGTTGTA